CCTCCTCGCTGTCCACCCAGCCTTCAGGGCAAGCACTGGCTTAGCTGGTGATTCTGGCTATGCAAAGCCATTGAAGGGACCTGGGTGAAACAGGCCCTTTCTAACCTCTTCTCTCTAAACTTTCACCATGCCCCAGGCTTATGCCCTTCCTCTGTACTGTAAACAGATTGCTTCCCAAGTCCTGTTCCGCTCTTTGGGGATTTCTAATCCAGAATCTGTATGACACGTGCAAGAGCCTGTTCCTTCCTCCCTCACATGCACCCCCACCCCCTGGAATTGGACATCGTTGTTCCATTTTGGAGACTATTATATACAGAGACTCATCGGACCGGGAAACAAAGAAGTTATTACTTGACAGAGCCCTGCAGCTGGGAATGTGGAAGGCAGGGGGAGAGGAGGGGGAGCACCAAGGGAGAGAGGACGGAGGGGGCTGTAGTAGCATTATGAAAGCAATCAGCAGAAAAGATAGCGCGAAGATGGGAAACTTTTTTTTTTTTCTTTTTTAAGAAGTCTTAAGCGGGGTAAGAAAAGAAGGAGAAAAGGAAGCAAGTCCAAAAGGAAGAGTGGAGAAGAAGAGGAGAGAAGGTAGTTGATGCTGGCAGTGCCGCGGGTTAAGCACACGGGTCTGTGGGTTTGTGTAGCCTTTGATTCAGCACTGACACGCTTTGGCAAGGGAGGCCACCAGAGCTGTCAAATCCTTCACCAACGTGCCCATCAATTGTATTCAGGTCTCCTCGACCCGCACTGGCATTTTAATTACTGTTGGGTAAACTAATTTGTACAAATGAAGGCAACTCTGCCTAATAGAATATGCAAGCTCTCTGACCTCTGACAGGCAATGACACAAGATACAAAGGAGGCAGAGGAAAGCTTTTTATCAGAGCCTTATTACTCTCTATTACTCCAATTAGTTAAGCTCCAGTGCTCCTAATTGGGGGAAAAAATTGCAATTAAATCAATTTTTGATGGGCTGAAAGTGGGTTACCGAACCGCCCTGCCTGTGAAACACTGATATTATAGCAGCAAAGGTCAAAGTCTTTGTCGGCACCTGTGGGGCCCCC